ATCGCTTCTGCAGTTTCGTCCTATAGGGACATTTTCGAACCAATATATCAAAAAGTTTTACTGTATTGGTTTTTGCTGTACTTTTTACTGTATAGACGTTAGAAAACATATTAAAAATAACAAAAAAACCTTATTACCTTTATATACACTATCATTAACTTGAACGAATGCATTATTTTTATGTAGATTGGCAAATCGAATGAAAACTTCTTTTTCAAAGACATCAACTGGCAGTTTACCGTTGAAATCTAAATATATGTAAGTATCTTTCACATCTTCACTAACACTTGTTGTGTCCATGCCGTCACAATTAAAAAGTTACTCGGTAAATATAAAGACAACGATTCAAAGCAAAAACAATATTGATAATAAATAAAAATTAAATAACCTGTTTCTTCTTCTTTTTTTTGGCTTCTAGGTGATTACGCAGTTTCGACAAAATAGCCTGTATTTTGTCCTTATTCTTAAGTAGATTGTTTACCCTTCAGTCTCTTCCACTTAGTTTAAGGATTGAATTATCAGAAAGGAAGGTAAACGATAATTCTCCATATTCAGAAAATGAAAGAATAGGGTATATATATTTTTTTTTTATCAATTTTATTTCACCTTATTCAATTTATTATGTTTTGTTTAATTTCTTTCAAACCCAAGTCGTTTTAATTTTTGTAATTCTGTGTAACATTCATGAGTAACGACAAAGTAACGGCCGAGGTTTTCAGTGTCACTATTTTTCGGGTTCGTAGGCCGTGGATTTTTGGAATTTCTTCCTGACGTTTCGCTAGACTCGCTATCAGCAGCGGGCGTCTATTGCATACCGTGCACTTGTGGAAAGGAATATATCGGAACCACCAAAAGATCTATTGGAACAAGGCTGAAGGAGCATGAAAAAACTGCAGACTGGGTCAAACGGACTAGTCGGCTGTGATAGAACACTCAGTGAAGGAAACCACAGGATTCTGTTTGAAAACACAGAACTCATTGCCCCCAATCAGGGATACCATAGCCGACTGGTATGGAAGACAATTCAGATCCACAAACACATGGATAATTTCAACAGAATAAAGCTATTATTATTATAACAGAAAAGAAGAAGCGGTGAACCTCAATCGAATATGGAATTCCATTTTGAGAAGTTCAAGGATAGCAACAGCAATGAATGTTACCGACAAATTACGTAATCCAGGTACAGATACGCATTACGAAACCGTAATATTCAGTCATCGGATATCAATCCAGGATGTATTAACCGCTGAAGAAGGTAGCGACTCACGCCAGTGAAACGTCAGGAAGGAATTTCAAAAATCCATGGCCTTCGAGCCCGAAAAATAGTGACACTGATTCTTGAGTAATATTTGTTCACTAGTGGTTTAAATTCATTCATTGTTATCTGAGGTGTGGTAGTATCAATCAAATATGGATTCCCTGACAGAAATTTATCAATTGAATTGATGGATTTTTACATTGAAATTAGTATCGAAATTAATGAAACTGGTCCAAAATCATTTTTGCCTTCAATAAGTTCCAAGTATGGTTAAGTTGGAATTCATCGGACATTCAATTGAAATGTGTGATAGATTTTCTATTTCGCCACATGTACACATCGGGTCATTTTTTCATTCCTATCTCATATGAGTGTGCTGGAGATAAAAAAGGCCCCGTACGCATTTTTATTATAGTTGAAATATATTTTTTATTTTCGAATGGAGAACTTGCAAACCAAGAAGATTTTGGAAAGCTATCTTAAACTATGCTATAAAAAAATAAGAAATGAATAAAGATAATATTTTAAAAGAACAAATCATGAAATTATAAAACAACAACAAAAATAATTGGCGCTCCAGAGCGACTTCATTGATTCCATATCAATGAAGTCGCATATCATATATCAATATAAAATATTTTACTATATCGAATGTCTTTCACCCATTAAAGTTCGAAATGTGAAACGATTTTTCCCAATTGGCAAGGAATCATTTTTATTGCAGTGCACCGAATGAGGTATATTTAGATTTTTACATGCATAAACCAAGCATAAACCAAGTATTTGTTTCCAATAATTGTTTAAACAATAAAAATAAAATTAGAAAAATATTGGAATAGTTTCTATAATTAGTAAAACAAAACAATCGTCCTGCCAATAATGTTAGAATCACAGAGTATTTTTAAACATATTGAGAAATACATAACATACCTATTTTATATATTACTTCATAAAATCAGTGAGCATACTTGGAGATTGGCTGTAAATCAAATTATATGAAAGAACAATTAGTTTAGGCCAGTCTCAAATTACCTAAACTATAGGTTAAAGGGCTGACACTTATCAGAAAACAACTACTCTCCTGGCTGATACCACGAAGGGCGTTGGATTATATCCGACAGGTGTCAGTGCAGGATTCTTCACTGAAGTTATTCCTGCATATGCTGTAGGCGATAGATACAACTGCCGCAATAGATTTTCAACTATTGGAACACACTCGCAGATTGAGGAATTATACTCTGAAAGGAATTCGATTTTCAATGATCGGAAATCATCGACTTCGTATTGATAATAGATACTACCTTGCCCTGACGAGTGGCCAAACAGACCAAAACCGATCTGCGAGTGTGTTCCAATAATTATTGCCGGAATCGATTTTCAATTATATAATTGAAAATCGATTCCGGCAGTTGTATCTCCAACAGCATATGCAAGAATAACTTCAATGAAAAGGTCATATTACTTAAGATTTCAACTGATTCAAATTATCAAACATCCCCCAAGGTGGTCAGCGGTTTTAAGTTTCGAGGTAAATTGGTGTATTTCTTCAAGTACGTAACTATATCAACCAAAGTTATGGTGTTGATATGACAAATCAAAACAACCTCTGTATTAGATAAATATTGTAGTACTTCTTATCTAATGAAAAAGTTTCATGTTTCGCTAACCACATTAGCATTATCAGGAGTTTGTCATCTCATAATGCTGAAGATAGGTATTTTGCCCCTGCTCAGTTACTATTATTCTAGATCTATGATTTGTTTCCTCAATATGAGCAATTGATGCACTACCATTGTCTCATCTAGTCTCTCCTACTTACTATACAGTAGTCCATTGCGTTAACCTAGGGAATCTCACAGCCCAGTAATCCTTGACAATTGAATTGAATTTGAAGACTCACTACCGATTTCATCTATTCCTCCGTCCATAGCTTGTTGCAATGCAACTTCTCTTGAATAGTGACTTCCTTGTTTTCCAGTCTTTGATAGTACTTTCATTACTGTTTTGAACATGGTTTCCTGAATAATGTTTCTGTGACTGTGAGTGCTTGAAGGATTTCACTATTTTTCTGGAAGCTTCTTCCAGTAACATAGTAATTCCATTCAACAGAACGAGTATTGTTTTCTATTATTATTTATCCATTGGTCTGAGCCAGTTCTTTACAAACTAGATCTAGAATAAGTTGGATTTTATTAGGGCTTCTGAAATTACATGACCAAGCAAATGTATCTGATTTGTACAGTGTAGCTTCAACTGGGCATTTCTCACCCATGTGAGTACTTCTCCAAGTGAATATCAAAATAGGAAATGAAAAAAACATCTTGAAATTGCTACTAAGTTTCATGATTGATGATAGAGCACTGACACTCAATAGTCATGCTGATTAGTATTTAAAAAAAATTAAAAATAATTTTTTTTCAAAAGTGGCCCCACATTTTGAATTATGTGCTACATTAATGTATCGTAAATCATTCCACTTCTGACACCAAATGTTATGCTTTCCTCATGGGTTTACCAATAATTGACCACACTGAATGATAATCAAAATTAACTTTATTTCATTGTTTCATAAACTGCGTCATAAACGTCCTGAGAACGTTTTTCCAAATGGATTTAATATCCAGCGATTCAAATCCAACGTTAATTGCTACTTTCACGCTCTAAGAGCGCCTTGAGGATTTTCCTGTTGTGCTTATGTTTTGTCCTTGAAAAAAATACAACCAAAAACTTCGCTTCCCACGAGCATATCAATATAGTCAAGTCAAATAGTGAAGTTTTGCGGACAGTGCACTACAGAGCGATTTAACAATGCGATAGACATTTAAATAACAGTTGAAGAAAGTTTGTTTGTATTAACAGTGAAATAAAGTTGATTTTGATTATTGTAGAGTGTAGTCAATTATTGGTAAACCCACAGGGAAAGCATAACATTTGGTGTCAGAAGATACAACAATGACAAATTCGAATAACATGTGTGATTGATGACTTGTCCATTTTGTGGAAATTCATGATCACTTTAATGAAATGAATAAGAAGACTTTTGTCTAATTTCCACTAGTTATTTTATTTTTATGATCTGTTTCGGGTTTTTCCCCATTATCAAGTATAAAACTAACTTGTGAAATCTGAAAACAAGGTTATTTAGGGAGTTTTTAGGTAAGCTAGAAGGTGAGGTAGTTGAATGAACAACGGTGCCAACTATAAAATTCAAGAGTGGAAATCTACATAAATTGAGTTGCTTGTTTAGCGGTATATATTTGGTGTTTTGAATTGATTTGTTAATTTTCATGGCTTGTTGGAAGCAACTCTATTTATGTAGGTCTCCACTCTTGAATTCATAAGTTTGACAACCCCTAAAATCTTCAGTGTTGAATTTTATAGTTGGCACCCTTGTTCATTTAACTACCTCGCCTTCTAGCATACCCAAAAGCTCCCTATATAACCTAGTTTTCAGATTTCATATGTCAGTTTTATATTTGATAATGGGGTAAAACCTGAAACCGGTCGTAAAAATAAAATAACTAGTGAAAATTACACAAAAGTGTTTTTATTCATTTCGTTAAAGTCAAATAACATGGCTACAGTCGACACACTACAATATACTAGGTTGTGAGTGAGAAAATTTTTCAGATGACACTTTTTATTTGAATGAAGATAGTCTTCAAAATTTCTAATAATTGAAAAAATATCCTAAAAATGGCTGTTTTAATTAGACTTTAAGTAATATATATATTTTTAGGGCGATAAACTGGAACCTGAGCAATTCCGTAAACTTTTCATTGGCGGCTTAGATTTCCGTACTACTGATGACTCTCTGAAAAAACATTTTGAACAATGGGGCGAAATAGTCGATGTAGTAGTGATGAAAGATCCTACCACCAAACGATCCAGAGGATTCGGATTTATAACCTATTCGGAAGCTCATATGGTAGATGATGCACAGGCCGCCCGGCCTCATAGAGTTGATGGTAGAGTAGTGGAACCTAAAAGGGCTGTACCCCGACAAGAAATTGGACGACCTGAGTCTGGTGCAACAGTTAAAAAATTATTTGTTGGAGGAATGAAGGAAGATGTCGAAGAAGAAGATTTAAAAGCACACTTTGAAAAATATGGAAATATTTTATCTTGTACTATCGTTACTGACAAAGAAACAGGAAGGAAGAGAGGATTCGCTTTTATTGAGTTTGAAGACTATGATTCAGTTGATAAAATTGTTTGTGAGTATATTTTTTATTTCAATCCTTAATGAATTTCAATATGACTCACCATGATATTGGCTTATGATTGATGGAATAAAATAAAATATATTTTTTGAACACTAAAACATACATTCGTTTCAAAGGGACACTAAGAAATAGTGTAGTTCATTTCACATTCATTAAAAAAAATAAACTGATTTTTTATGATTGAAATGGGACACTCATAGTTCACATTAAATTTGCATAACTCACGGTGTTGGTGAAGGCTTCATCATTCAGATGTGCTCATGCATGCAGATGCATTTAATGTATCTGCAACCATGCATTTAATATGCAGAAATGTATGTTCTTCATGTCAGTCATTTTTGAAAATGGTTTATAGTTATGGATGTTCTCATTTTTGGAAATATTTTGTTTCCTTTTTTTTTAAATCCATAATCAGATTACACATGTATAGGCATGGTAGTGTTAGGATACTGACAATTATGAATACATTTTTCACATGATGCAGAAGGATGCACCTCCAAAATGAGGTAGTATGAAAGTATAGAATGAACAAGGTGTAGCATCATTAAGATTTCAAAACCGACAGATTATAAAGCACACAGTTTACCAACAGTGTTTTGAATATGTTTCCCACATTACTTAATGCTCAATTGTCATTTCTAAAAATTTAGTTGAAGTCATTTGTTTAATTTATACTTGATTTATCTTAATAAGTAGGCTGAAGTTCATGGTGACATTTTTAGACAAAAATGCCACGAAATGTGTTTCATGTATTGATAATCGATCTGATCATTTAGTGCCTACTATAATGGAATTGTATTATAATGAAAATAAATTATACATACCTACTTACTGATTATCATGATTTTATTGCAATAGACTGAAAATTGCGTCAGCTTATTGTTTATTTACATTAGCGCTTCTGCTGACACAAAATTTAATGTTGCATGAAGAAATTGCTTGAGCGTAAATCAATCTTTAGCAACTTGCACAAAAAGCCTATAGCAAACTATAAGGAATTCAACATTGAATTATTATCAATGATAACCATATTGAGTAAGATATAATTTATTTTAACTAGAATTCTGTCTCTATTTTGAGCAAAATTTATTTTATTCATTTTAGTTTGTTTTTCATAATAGTTTGTTTTGAAATATTTTTTTGCTATTACATATTTTATTTTAAGCTTTTCAGTTTGTAAATCTTGAACTATCCATTTCAGCCAGTGTATTATTATTAAGAAATCTTTTTCCAGTAAGTTATGAGCTCTTTAGTTCTCCATTAAACTCTTTTATTTAATACCCTCAATAGGGTTTATTGTGGAAATGATTAATTAGAAATAGCAACATTTAATTGATTTTGTATTGTTTTGAGAATCAAACTTGCATGTAAAATTTCAGCTGAAACAATTGAGGTTAACTAGTTCAAAATTTATTTTCAAGATATCCTCCGCACTATCTACTAGGTCAAGTTTAATAAAAGATTGTAATAATAACAATCACAACGCAGAAGTTGAAGAGGTCGATAATCTCGAAATGGTACTTATTTCAAAAGTATACTACTACTGAGAGTAGACCAGATAGTAGTTTCAATGCAATTTCATATAAAATAATATTGTCAAACTACTCTTGGGTAATATGAATATTAGGACCACATTCAAAAGGTGATTTTTTTTCTGAATTCTAGCAATTACTAAAAGAAAACAGTAGTGAAATGTTTTGATTGTTATTGTGGCCAAGAAAAAATATTCTATTAGTTTTTACTGAACTATTAGTATAGGTACATAAAAAGTGTCAAATTTCAAAACTATATCCATTCCCAAAAATTGTACATATGACAACGGGCCGACACTACAAAATTTTTATTTTTCGATGCTGATCATTTTCTTCAAAGTAACCGAGGGGTCTACCTTTTCAAATAAAAAAGTTGATGTCTCCTCTTACGACCTTAGTATTCCATTCCTAAATGTCTTAGTATAGTAAAAATTGCTGCACATTATTCTTTTTTTTTTGCAGTGCAACGTAATCATAACATCAAAGGCAAGCATGTTGATGTCAAGAAGGCTTTGAGTAAGGCAGAAATGGATCGTTCTGGTGGGGGTGGTGGGCCTGTAGGACCAAGAGGAGGCGGACGTGGAGGTGGTCAAATGGGAGGTAGAGGGGGTAATTTCAACCAGGGTGGCAATTGGAACAGTCGGGGCGGACAAGGCGATTGGAATGCACAGGGCAATATGGGATATGGCGGTGGCGGCCCAAGCGGAAATAGCGGCGGCGGCCCGTGGAGCCAACAGGGACCTTGGGATAATCAAAGCGGTGGAGGCTGGGGACAGCAAGGAGGAGGTATATTTTTTATATTGATTATTGATGGGAAACCAATTTTACAAATTTCAATTTACATTTTTGTAGAAAGGTGAACTAAAACTAAATAATATTTATACAATCAAAAAGATCAAAATCTGGGCTAATAGACCTTAGTTGAAAGGAAATTGTAGTATCAAACATTTCATCTGCTAATGTCGTCAGTTATTGCTGCAATTTGAGATACTAGCTTCGTCCTCACATACACCATTGAAGATACCTACCCCATTAGCAGACAAACATTTGTTATTAAAAGTTCCATTTGTTTCACAACTCACCAGCCCGGATTTTGTTCCCTCTAATCAATCGTGACTTCGGCAGTGAAATTCAATGTTTATTTATTTATTAAGGCAATGCCTATTTTTTACAAGATAATTAACAAGTTCACACATATGTATTCAACAGTAATATAAGCTAGGTTTAAGGAAAAAATATATAAAATAAAATCGTAAAAATAATGAATTATAATCTTTTCAGTCTTTTCAAATGTTTTCAAAGAAGAATTAAAAAATTCAAAATCTACATTGTTTGTATTTGCAATTCTCAAAATTCTACTTACAGATTCATTCCGACCATAGTTGGTGAGACAAAAGGGTACTTTGAAGATATCCGAATTTCTTGTTCTTCTTGGATTCACATTTAAAGTTTTAAGTTCGACAAGTTCTGTGGAATTGATGCTACCATTGATTATTTTATGAATTAGTGTAAGGTCTGCTTCTAATCTTCTATGAGCCAGAGTATTCAAGTTGAGAATGTCCAATATAATTTTATAGTCATATTCACCAATATGGTATCCCAGTTTATATGCAGAGCACCTTAAAAACTTATTCTGAACACTTTCAAGCATATCAATATCCACATGATATGAAGGCCACCAAATTGTGGAATTGCATTTAATTATTGATCTAACAATTGAACAATATATGATTTTTATTGAAGCGAGAGATAATTCATTTGCAGATCTAAGAATGAAACCTAACATTTTTAAAGCTTTAGAATATTTGCAATATGGGGTTTAAATGACATTTTTGGGTTGAGGGTGATTCCTAAATCTCTGATTGTGTTTGTTGTTTTCAGTTCTGATTGATTGATTTTGTATGGCCAGTTAATGGGATTTTTGTTTCGGAAAAAAGTAAATCAACTACATGCATATCACAATATACTAGTACTATCATTGATTATGTTTGCACTGAAGCCATTGGAAATGAATATTTTTTCAAAATTGAAAAAAAAATCATAATTGGAAGGATGTATCACAAGAAAAACTTAACAAGTTGTATTTATCTTGCTTTTTATTAAAGTTGAAAGAGATATTTTAAATCAGGATGAACCTTCGCATTTGTCTCTTGATTATCTACAATAAAATAATTTAGTTCCAGTGAGGAAAATGAAGGAAGAAAAAGAAGGGCTCACAACAACAATAAAGTATCTTCTGAAAATTTATGATGTCTTCATTGTCCAAAAAAATTCAAATCAAGTATACCAATAAAAAATATATATAAAAAAAAAATGTAGACAAACAAGATTAAAGAAACTTTTTAAGTAATTACCAAGAGGAAAACTTCAACCCTCCCATGACTCACTAATTCTCTCAATTTTGATAAATTGCGAAAAACCTCAGTAATGACCTTAACAATCTATTGAATACACTTTTCCCTCGCTAGAACAAAAATGCTGTCTCTCGGCGCGCATTTTTTTAACCAAGTTAGCATTATCAGGAGATGATAGTCTTCTTCTTATCTTAGTTTCATTTCAACCTCATAAGTCGTCGTGACCTTATGGCCTTTATCCAGTAATGCTGCAAAAAAGACTAAAACTTCCACTTGGACAATTGTGTGTAATCCTTTGGACAAGAGCCACTTTCATTCCAAAACCTGGGAAAATTGAACAGGACTCTGCAAAAGGCCTTACGATCAATCAGTCTCATGTCTTTTGCATTCATGTCATTAGAAAAACTACTTGTTAGACATATTAGGGACATAACACTGACTACCAGAAGTATTTTTACTTGCTTTCTTGTATATAGGGGAGGCATTTGATAATCAAATCATCTAGATTTCCCAGAAAATCAACAGCACAAGCTACAGGTGGATAGACTGCATGCTGCTTAGAAGAAGATTTGTATACATAACAATTACAGGAGAGACGGTGTGACATGAGGTAGCAAGGGGTAGTCCTCAGGGGAGTATTGGTCCCCACACTGTGGAACGTAAAAGAGTTACTCTTGAAGACAAAATATTGGGCATTGTAGACGACTTAGTGATCCTAGTCCATGACAATTCTAATAATATAGAAAGAGATGCATGCAGCGTATCCTGAGTATTATAACTAGATTCACCAATGAAAGGCTGAACAAAAACCAAATGAAATCGATCATAGTGACATTCACCAAGAGGACCAAAACAAAGGGCCTAGGATCTCTAATTTCGAGGTGCAGAGATACATCTGTCAGAGATAAATATTTGGGAGTGATACTAGTTCCCAAACTGACCTGGAACCAATATCTAGAAAGAGTGAAAAGAAAAGCAGAGATATCACTGATGCTAGCCAGACGCACCTACGGAAAGACATGAGGGCTGAAACCAGACATGGTGGTTAAATCCATGATAATAGATGCATCTGTGATATAATTGATGAAACATATGTATGTTTTTAACAAATTAAGCAAGGTGCAGACTTGCGTGTTCGTGAATAAAGGAAACTAACAGCTGAATTGGAGAAACTCTTGAATCTTTATCCTTTACATCTTGTAATAATGGAGGAAGCAAGTATGGATCGGGTATAGCAAAAATTTCTGAATATGAATAAAAGAATATCGAAACATGTTCTTGTATCACATGTTACTGAAATATATGTTCGACACAAACTTCTTGTAACACACTCGGTCAGTGGACAGCTGTCTTTTCTTATTTTAACCTTTTTTTTTTTTCATTATCATACCATCGGTTATTTTCAATGGACCTATCAACCAACCACTTTTCCAATATTTTCTCATTTATCTAATACTCTTCAATATAAATTTATTTGATTAAATATTCCTTAGAATGTCTATAGTCAATCATGGTGATCAGTGATTTTGAGGATTTCATTGACATTATTTGTCATCACTGGTTATATAACCGATTAATGGTTGATGTATACCTCTGTATACCTCCTAATTTTCCCCTTCTTCCATTCCAGTTATTGGAGAAACCGGACAGTATTGTCAAGACAAGAAATTATATTTTCAAATATTGCAAATCATATAATCTTTTGAAACCTAAATAATGGTTTGATTGTTGTCATGTACTTGCCAGTAAGATGTTTTTTTATCAAATCAAAAACAAATCTGGAGTAGTATCTTCAATGACTTTGTTCTCTTTAAAGGTTACAGTGCTCCTGGGCCATGGAATCAAAGCGGAGGCGGAAGTGCAGGGCAAGATTCTTTTGGTAACAATTATCAACAGAGTTATGGAGGGGGTGGCCCTATGAGAAACAATTATCAACAACAGAGACCTGCTCCATATAGTAAGTATTAGTTAATTTTTTAATTTACTTGCTTTCTAATGTTTGTGTTATGTATGTTAAGAATCGTTAAAGCGAGTAGGTAGCAACCCACATTGAAGGTGAGTAGCACAAATAGATAGTTTGATTATATAATTATGAATGAAAATTCAGGGGGCCTTTGTGTTGAAATTTATTCTCTTGGGAAGTTTCATATCAAAGGAAGTAGAAAATGAATCACACTTTGAAATGCTTACCACTATTCAAAGATAAAGATAAAATTTTACTTTTTGTGAATCACTTATATTGAATAATAATGAAAATTAGTGCAATATAAATAATAATTTTTAAAAGGAAACGGTGAAGGAAAAAAGCTAGGTATATTTTAAACTTATAATCTCTAAGAAAAATATAGTTTCAGACCGGTTTAAAATAAATACCGTTTTCATCAAAGTGACATTGGCAGTTTTGGAAAAAAACATCTATCAAATATATTCCAATTATGTCTTTATACTTCGGGAGAGTCACTGAAACAGTTGCTAAAATTTAAGTGAGAAAAATAAGACTATCATATAATAACTGCTCCTGTTTTTTTTTTAATCATCTACTTGTGTGTTTGCAGTAAAATCAATAGAGAGATCATGAAAGCGATTTATCGTTTGACAGTTGATGGCAAAGCATGTTTCTGTAAGCACATCCTGACTAGCATCTGTCTGTGAGCGTGTGAATCTGTGATATTTGTATTATGAATTTCCTGTGAATCACTGTCATTACCTGTTTCTTACCGAATAAGTTCAAATTTTGCATTTATGATCTTTTTTTGTAGAGTATTAAATGATTCAGAGTCATATTATTAGTCACTTGTATAGTTCCACAGTTGGAGTATCTCATGGTTTATTAAATATTACCTTTATAGCTTCATTCATCAAACGATAAATTATATTTTTTGCCTTTTAGTGCAGTGACCAAATTGTAATTGCTATATCTAATTCAAGAGAGAATATAAGCATTATAAATTAGAAATTATATATGAGTATCTTAAAAATGTACTATTCTGATTGCTCCTACCAGTGGTACAATCGATTCTATAATTTTATTTATATAACTTTTAGAATTCGAATCTTTATAAATTATTTTACCTAAATATTTGATTTTCAGCTTGGTTGATTAATAATTTGTTCTCAATTTTAAGATTCAGTTTCATATTTTTCTGCTTGAAAATCATGAAAACTGTCTTTCCTAAGTTGATTGTTAAATTGAGGTCATTTAACCATTTCTCAATCTTTTCCAATGAATTCACTTTTTTTTCTGGATAAAACAGTGCAAGATCATCTGAAAATGAAAAGTCATCATTCATCAAACCTATAATTTTAATATTATCAACATAGAGGAAATAAAAAATTTGGGCCAAAACCGAACCTTGTGGGAAACCAAAAGTTGAAACTGTTTCAAAACTTTTACAATTATTCATCACTACATATTGATTTCGATTTTGAAAATAATTTTGAAATAAATTTCAACAAATTCAATAGAGCAATTACAGAAGTCTTCTCTTTAGAAAAGAATGAATTCAACTCTTGCATTCATGACTCTGCCTAGTTCCGCTGATAATGTATATTTTATCAGCGGAACTCGTTTTAAAAAATGAAAAATCTGTCAATTGCTGATATATATACTGTGCTGTAGATAGTCTTAAAAATACTATGAGACAAATTGAAGCATGTTTTGAATGCATTTAAAACGAAAGCCACGGTAACAAGAAACCATATACTTTATGAAAAGTGTAACATAATTTGAATGATAGAAAACTACTTTGAAATTTGGATCAGAAATAAAATTCCAAATTATAGGGAGCATTACATAGTTTGGTTCATTGTCATATTTGAAGTAAAACATTTCATGGTGCATATGAGTCAACTGCAAATGTGAGATTAGGAACACATCTTACAGAATACATTTTCAACTTGTTTTGGCAATAAAAATATTTTTTAAACCAGTTAAATATACAGGGCTTTTTTTATTTTTTTGTCTGAAGAAATAGTGAACATTTCTTTGAACTTTGTAGCAGGAACTTTCATTTAGCTATCAGAATATGTTCATAGAATTTTTTTACATGTTGCCGTCTCTGACTTAGGCCACCTTCATCTTCAAAATTTTGAATATGGATCTTTATTTTTATAGCAATTTTACCCAAATTAGAAAAAATGCATGCCTCTGGCTCATTTTTATACAATACTGATTTCTAATCTCACTGGAAATAGAGGATTCAAATTGAAAACATATATATTTGGTACCTCTTTTATACATATAATAAGTGTCCATGATTTTGTTCACTCAATGAATTCTATTGAATAAGTAAACAGTTGTTTCCATTCATTTGATTACCAGGGTGGTAATTAAAGAATGATGAATCTTTTGAACTTCCAAAATATCGAAAAATTTTAAGAATATTGAAAATGATTTTATTTAAAGATATTATGTGTGCATTGTTGGACAAAAAGATGGATGATCTATATTTGACTTTTCAAAGTTGAGATTGGCTCAAGGCGGACGGCATCCTGTATAAATATTCTACGAACTAGAATTTAAAAAAAAAGTAATGATTGACGGAAAAACAGATTTTAAACAAATTTTTTTTAACAGAATTGTTAGTTTATTTCTTTTAGCAATCTTAGTATTTGTTATATATGTATATTTTACCCAATACTGTATAAACTGAAGGATTTCCATTACTAAATAAATGAATGAACATATTCCAAAAATAATCAACTTTCCCACAATTTAACCTACTCTATATCTTACCTTTTACTAGAATTTGAATAGCCCTATACAATAATATATTATACCGTAGGTCAGAAAAATAGTGATTGTTCTCATGAATGTTTGAAACCAAAAGAGGCCCTCTTGGTACAAGTATGACACAAATAAAAACACTGACTAGGTAATTTCACAGCTCCTTTAAAAAGCTAATGAAAGCTGTTGGAGAATACGGGAAAGCCTTGAAAACTATAAATTTTACATTTACAGTTGATTCAGGGATAGTATTAGTGATAAGATTTTTAGGGAAGTTTACATTGGAGTTGTCATAAATTTTTATTTATGATTGGCCCATTTGTCTATATAATGCAGTGAGTTAAGTTATATTATATTTTGTTATAGATACTGGAGGTTATGGAGGTGGATTTTCGAATGGTGGCAATCCAGGTGGCCCCAGGAGGTTTTAAAACGTAAGTGCACTGATACACTGCTAATGAAAACATTATTTTAAGGCAGTGCCAAGTGTACAGGTACTTATTTGTACTGCTGCTCTGAGAGCATGAAAATACACAATTATAAAATTTTGAGTAAATAATAAAAGTTTTAGAACTGAATGATTATTAAAAAAAAGTTCGTAATTGTGGAATTGATAAATACTGCACCTTAACAAATGGAAATGAACAACCATATTTCTAAAATTAATTTGATTCTGCTCATAACATTATAATTTTCGATTGGTAGTCAAATAATTAAGGCAAGTATGCCTATATATAAGGAATTTGGTGTTTGTGTAACAGTACATTTAGGATATTTCTTTAGAGTTAATGAACTTTTATTTCTCAACTTCATGGTAGTTTTAGGTTATTATGTAAAATGTAATGAGAATATTAAAGGTTTGATTATTCTATTCATTGTTTTTTGTCGATAGGATAGAATTAGGTTATTTTCAAATGAGGATAACAAATGCAGGTAGGGTATTTCTTTCTTAACTTCGGATTCTTTACATTGTAGTCAGAAAATTGAACATTGTGAAAGTAACTGATTGATTAGGAACAGTTACAAGTGGAGGTTCAACTTCAACCATTCCTGATTTATTATTATTGAACTTCTATTGGTTACTTAAGTAACAGAACCTGATCACTTTTATTATCTCAGAGTCATAGTTGGTATTTATTTTCGTTATTAGTCAATATCTTGCCACCGATCAATTTAAAATTATTTGATTAGGATTAAAATCTGGTTAAAAATTATACTGAAATATATTGATATTGCTGAAAAGACTGCTCTATCTTGTGAACTGTTATCTTTCAAATCGAGAATTGAACCAAATTTTTGGCATCTCTGAAGTTTAAATCAACAAAATGGTTGAGGCTTTCGTGGCCGAGATTTTCAGTGTCATTATTTTTGTTCGGGTTTGAATGCTGTTGATTTTTGGAAATTCTTACTGACATTTCGCTGGAGCGAGTAGCTAGCTTCTTCAGAGGTTCATACATCTTGAGCTTATCTTCGATAACTTAGTATTCCGACTGCGTAAAGCATATTCATCAGCCGAAGACGATTGTGGATACTAACAGTTGAAACGTTGTGAAGTAACTTGGCTTGAAATCTCCTAATTCTTATTTCATTTTAATTGTTGAATCTTTTGCCTAATTTTTAATTTTCATTTATTTCAAATATTTCAAATCATATCATATTAGACAATTGAAGTCCGAATTAACGAAATTCACCATGAAACATTGTCAACCACCTTCAAACAAGCATATTTATGTTGATTCAGGTAGTTTGGTGCCCTAATTCCTGTACCTGGATTGGGTATGTAGTTAATAACATTTGTTGACCCCTTTTCTCCTTGCCGTCATGATGTTTGTTATTCTTGGTATCCCTGGTTGGGGCAATGAGTTTCGTGTTTTCAAACAGATTTCTGTGGTTTCTTTCGCTGAATGCGTGTTCAGACATGAAAACACAAAGACCATGGCTTTCTTACCTACTGACACATTGTTCCAATTAAAACTGAGACCCTAATATAGTATTATGCAGTAGCGATTCTGCAATAGTTTCACCTCTTGGTTTGGGAAGTCCACTAGCATCTCACACCAGAACTATCTTTTCGTGCAAGTTTGTTTTGACTTGATTGGTGGAAACTAGCTCCAAGAAAAGTATTACAATTTTGTTTTTTGTAGGAGCAGTATTTATGTTTAATTCAATTTTTTTTTTAATTCACTAAGCCTGATAAGACTAAAAACAGTTGAATAGCATCGGTTTTTAATTGTGCACTTCCAAAAATGTTTATATCTGGGAATCGTTACAGGCCTCAGTAGAAATGTAGAGAATAAAAGCTAGATTAAAGCCAACTCTGTCTTGAATAACAATAATCAGGGATGGGGAATTTTACAAATTTCACATGTGAAAATAGTTTTTGACTACTTTTTCAACAATAAGAATACAAATAATGTTTAAGAATATGTTTTGAATTCTAAGGCCAATATTTCACTTGGAGACTCCTCGCTTCCACTTCAAGGTTCAAGTTGAAATTTTCTGGAATAGATTTTTCAGAATTGACAGATTCATATGATCAGTTAATCCTAATAAAGAAAGGCAGTAACATTTTCTGAAATTGTCATTAATAATGATTGGGAATTCTCAATTTTTTAAATTGACAAACACCAGAAAACCAAGTTTTACATATCATAAAATATATAAAATGAGGATTATTCAAGACAAATAACTATTATTTGGTATAATAGCAGATTTTTATCACAGTTTCTGTTATCTATACATAAACTTCTATCAGTGTTACTATCTTCATTCGGGTTTGAAGGCCGTCGTAGTTTGGAACTGCAACCTAACGTTTCGCCAGCACAAGTGGCTGGCTTTTTCAGGGGTTTATTCATCTTGATGATTGAATTAATCGAAGAGGTTTTTTGTATCGATGACTGGTGATTTCTAGTTCGTAGGTTGTATTTAGGTTGACTCAAGGTAGTCTGTCTCTCTTGTTGATGCGTTGCTATTGCCAAAGTGTTATTACCTGTTAATAACGTAACATTGCATTGCGCTGTTGCTACTTTAGCATCTTTCAGTATGGGATTCCAAATCCCATTAACAGGTAATAACACTTCGGCCAATAGCAACGCATCAACAAAAGAAGAGGGCTACCTGAGTCAACATACATTCAACCTACGAACTAGAAATCACCAGTCATCGTTGAATCATCAAGACGATTAAACCTCTGAAGAAGCCAGCCACTTGTGCTGGCGAAACATTGGAATGCAGTTCCTAACTACGACGGCCTTCAAACCCGAATGAAGATAGCTCCTATTATGTTGGTGAATTTTTGAAACTTGTCTATCAAAGGTAAACTTCCCATAAATGCCTCTTCACTAACATATATTTTTATATTTTATTGTATGTGAATAACAATCAGTTGCATGGCATTCAATAGTCCAAAATAAATATGATACAATCAATATGGTGTTGCTGCTAACTCAAAATTAGTTTGAATTACTTTTTACTACAAAAAAACAGGAACTTTTTAATCTGACTGAAGAAATAAGTATCCAAAATTGGTGATTTTTATGCTGCAGAAGCAAATCAATAGTTATACTGTAACTTACATAGATTCTAGTTTATAAAAAAGGAGAGGTAGGTAGGTAGGTTTTGAAGACAATTAGGAACAGAGATTCACAACTGCTAAACAATGTTTCAATGCATATTTCATTCTCTACATCAATGAAGATTCAGTAATGCTACCCAGAAGCACTATTATTCATGTCTGAATATAGGATATTGTTAGGAAGAGCAGAAGTGTTAGTGTAGACAGAAAGAACATGACAGGGATCATTGATGAGGTTAGGATTTAATAGGTATGTATAGTTTTAGATATTGGTAGGTTATTTATGTTTTTGTACAGTTTATTTGCACTGGGTGTTAGGGATACAATCCACCTAAATTATGCCATGCGAAATATATGAGATTAATTTTATTCATGTGTATGGTTAAAATATAATGTTTGGTTCTTTAGTATATATTGTATGCTGTCTTTGGAGATTTGAAGTGGGACAAGTGTGTAGTATGGTTTGCCAAGTTTAACACTAAAGGACCTCGAAAATCAGCTGTTAATACTGGGTTAATATTTACTTTTGCTATGGATATATCCGAATTTCCTTTTTCAATTATACATTTTTTGTCTTAACCTTGAAAATGTTTAGCATTAATATTCAGAAAGACTTTAATTAAGGTATTACTTATGCACTTTCCCTGTCAAAACATTGAGAGTTTGTAATAGACCAGCGAAATGCTTGAATTTAGCTTCACTTTCACCAGGAAATGTGCAGCACTTCCAACGATCATTTTCCGAGTTATCAATTTTTTCAACCTTCAGCATTGTTGTAGCTGACTGATGAATGCACCATGTGACTTTACAACCTTCCACTGAGGTTACTCGTGATTTAGGCGCTCTTTGACGGATGGGTGTATGCCGGCATATAGTTCTTAACTCAACCATTATACTGAATACAATTTTTTTATTTCAAGAGCAACATTTATTACCAACTACTGCACTTGCCCCACTTAACCTTACTTCATTTGACTCTCCATTTCATCACAGACAATGCTATTAGTAGGTGACTATTTTTATTGTTGATTATTTCAATTACCAAGTCTAGTGTCGTTGGTATTCAGACTAATACATTATCAGAATTCTCTAAGATATATGTTTTGAAATTGAACAATAAGTAATGTTTTATATCTGAACCTCTATTACATATCTCCAAAATATTCGTTTTTAGCTTAAGTTTCAGAATATTTTTTGTAGGCAAGAATTATACTCCTAACACCCTGAATGAACTTATTTTGCAGGACTAATATTAAAATGTAATTTTGAGGTTAATTATTTGAATTATTTTGCTTTCATGGGAACATTTGGAATAGTTTTAGTAATCACAGTGCCTTATTTCCTAATATAATTCTATTACAATTTTTAACTGCAAAAAATAGTTGTTACAAATTCGTGACCGATTAAAACTCCTTCACATTTGCTTCAAAGTCGGTAGGTAATCATTTATATTATTTTAACTAGGTAGGCAGTTCACATGTTGTCATGAAGTATAATTATATATTGGTTCCAGGATTTATAAATAAGTGAACGTCTCCGATTTGGAAACAAGTTGTGAAGTTTTGTTATAGTGCTCAACTATGATGATTCAATTATTTATTCATGCAGATGTTTAGGTTTGAATTTTTTGGTTCTGTAATATCGCGCTCATTTTGTTCCTTCTGTATCTTTTAAAATTCTGATTCTCATGTAATACTTGAAGATTCCCATGCAACCTAACCATTATATTGATATTTGTAATTGAAACCTCTGAAGTAAAATGAATCTATTGAAAGCACTTTTTCCAAACCAGAATAAAAATACTATCTCTTGACGCACGTTACGCAGACCTAGTTAGAATCAAGTGTGCTCCTTGTTTGCTCTATGTAATAATTACAGAAAGAAACCAGTTCGATATAATGTACTCACCTAAGTACCTGCATTTGATGGTTCGCCCAGATACATATAAAAGCTCGAAGTTGTAATATTTAGTTTATGTCATATCCTGATGATACTAATTTGGTTAGTCAAGAGGCAATATTTTGGTTCTGTTGCTAAGAAACTATGGATTGATTTTATGAACTTTGGTGACTATAAAAATTCATTCTTCCTCTAGCTATATCAACTATCAACTATGTTGATTGTTAAATATTATCACATTCAAATTTGTTTCTTAAAAAAAATATTGAGTCCTATTTGAATTCGAGCCTCTATACTCATACTCAAACCTCTTGTTGAATTTGACTAGCATTATTCTTCATCGTAAGCTTGGATCATAAAACCGCCACAGTGTGGTGCTGTCAGGTTACTACAACAAG